GTGTATGTTTTGTTTTAGCAATCGCAAGTTTCCAAATTCATGCAATGTAAAGTAAGTAAAAAATTTGCTTTTCTATTAGCTAATATAACATAAATAAATAATTTTATTTTTTCATCTTTATTTTTTAACATGATCATTTAAAATGCACCAGAACAAAGTTATAAAAAAAATTCTTACATTTATGCACACACACATGAAATATCATATGTGTGTGTATGTATGCAACATACACATGCATGCAAAGATATATATATATATATATATATATATATATATATATATATATATATATATATATATATATATATATATATATATATATATATATATAATAACAATATATATTATGAAAAAAGGTTAGAAATAGTATTAGTACTAATCTAAAGTAAAAATAAATTGTATAATAATATTAAAACAATTATAACGAGGCCAATAACAATATCAGCAATGTTAACAATGCTATTTATATTAATAAATATAATACTATATATATAATAGAGAGAGGGTAATAACCACAAGTAGCCTCCTCATCTGTAGTGGCCTTCTTGGCCTTGGGGAGGCGAGTTACCAAAAAATTTATAATAATAACAATAATAATAGTAATAATAGTTTTGATAAGTATTAAAACTAAATATTAAACAATAAAAATAAGTAATAATATATGAATAATAGTAAAACTATGTTATAATATTACTATTACATAAAATAATATTTTTATTACATAAAATAATATTACTATTACATAAAATAATATTTTTATTACATAAAATAACACCAAAAGTAATAATAATAATAACCCACAATGAGCCCAATATTCTACAAACAGTATCTTTCCAAAAGTAGGCATAAAGACCGGTTTTAGTAATAAGGTTTAGTGATTTAAAGTGAATAGGTAATCTATTCCATGATTTTATGCATTGGTTTGTGAATTATTGACGTACATAACTAAGTAATGACTGAGGATATATAATTTAAGGTTACTAAACGACGGAAGATAATAACAAGAACTTTTTATAGCAGTAAAGAAATAATAGATTGAGTGAGGTAGGTTAACTTGTTTCCAGACAAATAGACAATTTAATAGATGAACAAGAGCACACAATTTGATGATTTTGGATAGAAGGTAAAGGATATTATTCTTTAGAACAATATTCTTGAAAGTATATTATTTTAAATGTTTTGATTATATATTTTTAAAAAACTATTGGTTCATAAGTAGTGCGTAGAGTATTATATTAGTATACATATTAAAGTGTTTGTAGTATGTTTGAGAAATAAAATTTATATTAGATAAAAGAGATTTACTATTAATATATATTTATCTTTAGAAAAGTATATTGCTGATTTAATAGTTTTATTGTTCTAATTAGCCATATGGTTCATTGTTATTAAAGTTACACATGTTAGAAGATCGTGTTATTCGATTTATAAAAAAATAGTCTTTTTAAATCACACAATCAAAAACTAACCCTATAAACAGAAAGCTTAAACCAACCTTGAGAAAAAGAATATATTGCAATAAAAATTTTTAAAAAAGAAAGTCTAAATAATGTAAAAATTTATATGTAAGAGATTAAATATTATACAAAAGATAAAAAAAAACAGAGAAGCAAAATACTGCAAAATATATGAAAATTACTAAATTTATTTTTTTCTTTGTTCGTTGCATTTCATACTACCAGATAATTCTTTTTTCCCCCTTACCCACCTCTGTCTATTAAATAATTAGATTTATCTTGACCTTATTTTCAAATATTTTAAAAAATTGACTAGTTTATAGTTCACTTGATTTTTATGAGTAGCTCCCTAACAGTCGTAAACTTATTGCTTGTTATTTAATGATTTTTAAACGAATCATGTGCCTTTAATTTTAGGGTTGTAAATCTTACACCAGTTATTAAAAACCCTAGGGAAAGAGTTTGAGATCTTATTTAATTGAAAACTTAGTTATTTTGAACATTTAAAATTTTTTATTTCGTAGCACTTAAAAAGTAGTTAAGGGATCGTCCATAAAATACAAACGCTCGGAGAGAAAGAGGGATCTGCAAACGTAAAAATATAAGATGGGGGGGGGGGGGGGGAGGGTAGTAGGTCAATTATAAATAGTTTGGAGACACTAAATTTAAAAAATACAAAAATATCACAAAACCATTTTGGGAAGGGAGATATCAAAAAAGAGCAAAAAAAGTGTCGAGCAGCCTTATATCTACAAAAAATATAACATTAATAGTTCAATTAAAGAGCTAAAAATATTTGATAGTATAATTTTAATGTATTATAATATACCCTAATGAAATCTCTAAATTTAAAGTAAACATGTTTGAATCTGTACATTGGCTCAAAAGCCAGGTTTGCCAGATTGTGGAGCTTTGTATCCCATGGGAAGGAAATAAGTTTATATAAAATCTATTAATTATACTTTTAACAACAACAAAATTATCGATAAATTTTATTTATTTATCTCTCAGTATTACATAATTTAACAACTTGTATCATACTGATTGAACTTTTGATTTAATTATCAATCGAATTTCTGAAATTCATCAATATAATCAATCTGTAGATTATTAGCATATTCCATTAATACAGAATTTGCCTACTTTATACAACCATATTTTTTAAATCTTGAAGTTTTTAAACTTTAAAAAAATGTAAAATCTGGTTTCAGCTTCTGTCAAGTAAGAACATGATACTGTGCTTTTAATGATCAAATTGTTTTCTTGAAGTGTTTTATAAAATCATATAGGAAAAAAAATGTCAGCTTAATTAAATTAACTAAGTCAGCTATTAAATTAACCCCCACTTGATCAATATATAAAATCATATATAATACTAATAAATATCAATAAGCATTGTCTAACTGTACATTACCAGCTTCTAATGCAACTTGGTATCTAAATTAGTAAACCGAACCATATTTAAGTATTTTTTACAAGACAATTATTGTCGACAATTAATTATCGTCATAATAATTGTTCCAATATTTCCAATATTATAGGGTTGAAATATTGGAACAGCTAATATGATGACATATATATAGTCTTCTATGAATAGTACATAAAATATAGATGTATTTGTATGTATAAATTATTATGTATTATATGTATGTATAAATACATACATACATATATACATATATATATATATATATATGTATATATATATATATATATATATATATATATATATATATATATATATATATATATATATATATATATATATATATATATATATATACAAAATTTATTTTTAAAAAATAAACAAAACACTAAATGTTACAGATAAAAGTTTTAGCCAAAACACAAGTTAAAACTTTAAAAATAATTGGTTAGCGTATTTATTTACTAATACAAAAAAAGGCATTTATTTATTGATTTAGATCAGTAATATGGTTGCAACATTAATTTTTAACAAAAATAAACTAAAAATAACAGTTGCTATATAATAACAGTTGCCGCAGATATTTTAAAAACTCTGAAATTTTTATAAACTTTTGGCACATGCGCACCTAAACTTAACGCTTGTAAACGACCGTGCCAAGGACAAGATATTTCTATGGCTTTAAAAACTAATTTACATAAAGGAAAATTACGTCGTAGATTTAGTAAAAAATTGAAGAAAAAAAAAGAATATAGATCAGGTTTATATTCATTATTCTTTATTGATATATAAGATTATATATTGATATACATCAATAAAGCTTAAATAACCCTAATTCTAAATTTTAAAAGTTACTTTTTAAACAAATTAAAATTTGTGTTGTTATAATCACAGTTAAATCGTTTTCTTATCATGCATATTTGTTTTGAGGTCATGCACAAAAAAAAAAATTAAAAAATGATTGAAACAAAAGGTTTCTTCATAAGTCATTGGACCCTTGTACATTATATTAAATAACTACTAAGTATAGATTATAAAAATGATTGGAAATATTTGTTGTATTTTTGTGCGAATTTTTAAATTTTTTTTTTATCTAATTATTAGGATGCTCCAAGAAGACCTAACAGTCTTATCACAGAGCACGACGGAGCAATATTTAATTAGGAGTTTCACGCCTCCTTTCTTACTAATTTTGCTTATTGGCCCAGAGCCGGCATCGTACCCTGAGCCTCTTGGTTCTAAACCACAAATCTAACCACGGCTGCTTTTTCTTTATTTTGCATCGTTTGTTTGATTATCTTTTTAGATGTCTAAGCTCTTTTTTATGTATCTAAGAGTTTTAGAAGGATTTTTGACGGTTGTCTAGAGACCTAAAAATCTTCAATGTCCATAGGACGGATCGCGAGAGTTTTAGCAAGCTCTGCATCAAAGGATGCAAGCCAACAATCAAGAAGTCCACCAGCTTTACAAAAGACAAATCCTGTCACATTGCTTACTGACTAGAGTCAAAGTTGCAGATTCTCTAAAATCCAGTTACTATTGTGCTCGGCCACTACGTCTAAGCATTTAGATGGTTGTAGCTCAGCTATTATGAAGCCGGCGAACATTTCCAGGCTAAATTACAACAATCCTAACACTAGAAGAAAAGATAAATTTGCTGCCCGAGTTCTCAGGAGACAAATGATCTCAGAATCACAACATCAAGATAAGTTTGCTTTCCAAGTTTATAGGAGACAAATAAACCTCAAAACCACGACATCGCATCCAAAGGTGCTAAGCTCCATCCAGACTCTCTACTCAACCACAGCAGCCACAATCAGATTGAAGTTTTTTCCGGATAAAGCCATTCAAATAATATTTAAATAATTCAAATAACTTTATTTCCAATGAAACGTAAACCAGTGCGTACAACCCTGGTTTTTTTGTCATAAACATTGGACATGGACAACATGTCGTTAGAATTCACCACACAGACCAAGTGTTACATGACTAAAAGCCGGTTTCAAAATGCAATCCTAAGAAGCAAATGCTATACCTAATCTTCCCCATTAGGCTGAGAAAAGATAAACCGGAAAATCACACAGGGACTGAAACTTTAATAGAAACGACAAGAAAGATTAAAAAAGTTTTAGTATGTGTTTTTTTCCATTTTTTCTATTACATCAGTTTTAACAACTATAACTATATCAGTTATCAATATCAGTTTATAAGAGTTATATTGAAAAAGTCATTGGTTAGAGCGTTGTTAATTAACGATCATAAATGATTTGCAATTCTAGAAGATTTATCTACGTATATTTATAATACGTACTTCAAATTAAAGTTTTTAACATACTTTAAATAAGTATTCCAAATTAATGTTTTTAACGTACTATAAATAAGTACTCCAAGTTATCTAACGTACTATAAAAAAGTACTCCAAATTAAAATTTTTAAAAGATACAAGATATAGTAATTTAACAGAAATTCTAGTAAAAAATACTATAAAAGTTACGCGATACGATTTACCTATTTTCAAACTACTTTTTTAAAACTTCTTTAAATATATTAGATTTTAAAGTCAATCCCATATTAAATTTTTCTAATGGGAAACCTTTGCTTGTCAGGAAACAAAGTTATCGTTTTTTAAAGGCATTAGACTGGTTCACTGGATGCATATTTCCACTTTAATGGGGTTTATAACGAGTCGGTTTTACGTCATGAATTTTGTGCCACCAAACAATTACTAACATAAATAAAAACAAAATCAGTCTCCTTAACATCACCATGACGTCCTTTATTATTAATGCGTCAGCTAAAATTTTGCGAATTTCTTTAACTTCGTGAGCAACACATATAAAAGTAAATGACGTCACCAGCGCGTTAACAGTTACATAATCAGGAATGAGTACGTGAACTCCGTAGCTATCATTTGCCAACCAGATATGGTGGTGTACTACAAAAAGCTAAAATGCATTCAAATGTTAATAACTTCATAATTTCTTAACATATATTCGTTCTAATTTATAACAAGCTATAATATTCATAAATACATTTTCAAACTATATCTTAATGCAATATTTGCTGATAATACCTCTAATGCCATATCGCCAATCCAGGCAAATAATACGCTGTACTGGGATCTAAATCTTGCTGAAATATTGCGCATCACCACAAACGATACTACCTAAAAAACGAATATCATTAACTTTATTCGCATCTAAGTACGTTTTAAATTAGTAAAGCATTTTTTTCAGTCTAAAAATTAAATGACCCTATTCTCTCGTTGTTCTTTTATTTTACGCATAAATTTTTATTCTATATAACAAATATTTTGCAGCAAATCTTTATGACGAACAATTTTGAATAATATCAGCAAAAAATATTTTATTACTTCAATATTCAAACGTGCAGAGTCAGCAAAAAATATTTTATTACTTTTATATTAAAAGGATACTTTTTAGATTACTTCTATGTATATAAAAAAAAAAATTATGGCAGAATGAAGAACTAAGTCGCTTGATTTTGCCAATCTGCATATATGATCGATGTCTAATGCAATAAGCGACAAAGTTAGGAGATATTTGTATATTATATTCAATGCAGCAAACATCATCCTAAAAATGCTAATATTTTATAACATCCACTTCAATATGAGAATTTTTCTAAATATCAAAAATCGATTAACGATACCCTTACTACAATTAAGATATTCAATAATACTCTTAGAAAAATCCATAACGTACATACACAGTCAAATCACATTAAAAACAAAAAAAATTTTAGTTTATTATACATATCTACATTATATAACATAGTATTAATTTTTTAAACTCGTGAAATGCGATGTTTTTGTTAAAAAAAAGAAATCAAGTTTTAGGAGAGACGAACTGTCTTCCTTTCCTATACACATTTGTACGTTTTTGGGTAACTACCCTTTACCTCCATACCTAGATATATGCTTTATGGAAGACCCCTTACTACAAATATGTTCAAAATTTATTATTGTGTATCATGTTTGATCAATAATATCCCACTAAAGAGTAACATCGTTTTTAAAAATGTATTTCTCAATCAAACGTATATTTTCCAGAAGATTTAAAGCCAGATTTCAAACTACCTTCTATCAATTGATATTGCAGAGGACTGAGAAGGACAAAAAACTGATTTTTGATGATCAATTATTAGATTCATGATGCACCAATCTATTCTCAGCGGAAAAAAATTAATCCCAGCAATTAAAGTAAATGGAAAATTTACAGCTCAACCAAGAGACCTAAAGCAGGAAATTTTTTAAGTCAAAAGTAATTTCTACTAGCCTTTGTCTAAAAAACAGTCTTACAAAACAGCAAGGTATGTGGCAGGTTGCACTGAACCACATGCTTCTAGTAGCAAAAATGGTGATCCTGATCTAAAGCTCAATTTACTGCAACATATCACTGCAACATATTACTGCAACATATTACTGGGTTTAATGATATTATTGTAATATATTACTAGAAGAAATTATTCGAGCGAATAAACTAATATTAAATCGAGATATTACTGAACCATATTATTGGAACACATTACAGTAACATATTTCTGAAACAAATTACTGCAAAATAATACGGGAAAAAAAAAATTATCGGAAATGTTAAAAATTAATTAAACATTTTTCATTAAATATTTTTCATTTTATATATTTAAATATTGTCAAACAAAATCTTTTTTTTTTAAATTTGAATTTACTACTATTGCTTTATATTTATAAAATTATTTTTTATTCTAATCATTTCATCGCATAATGTACTTCTATAATTATTTGTTGCTTACATGATGACATTAACATGTTTGCATGAATATTTTTCAGACAGCTATCATGGTATTCTAAAAACTCTCTTAAAACTTTCAACAAGGATAACTCTAAACTACTAATGAGTAAAGAATACAATGCGGTTTTTAACAAACGCGATATAACAAAGTGAAAGCCAAGTTGTTTTTATAATATTTTTACTTAAGTTTCAACAATATACTTTTGCTATTAACTTTTTTATTTTTTCTAGAGAAACTTTACATATTGGTAATATAAGATATTTCAAAACATCACAAATACATACTCAGGAAATAAATGTACCAAACTTAAACTTACAGGAATAAAAGATGCTAAAGAATGAGTGTGATCACAAAACTCTTTTGTGTGACAAGTAAATGCTTGTATTTGATAACCCTAAAGTTAAAGTATATTAAAACATTAAATATTTCACGAATATATTATAATTATTTCAAATAAATATCTTAAATGATAAAAATTAAAAAAAAACTAAAAATACTCTTTCAACAGAAAAATACTCTTTCAACAGATAAAACAACAATTTAAACCTACTCTTGTAAAGAAAAAGTAACCAGGGTTTTGAACACATAAATTAAGCAAATATAAAAAAAAAAGTAAAGTCTAAGTGAATGCTTACCAAAAAAGCACAAATTGATCCAATGAGAAATCCAATTGAAAATTTATAGTTAGCAAAGAGCCATTTCTCTTCTTCATCAAGCAAATGGTAGCGCTTCAAGGTCACATAGATATATGCAGTCAACATGCCAAATAATACTGACTACAAAAAAAAAAAAAATTACTGGTAAATTTTTTATGATATTATTTTTATATTTTAATAAGAACCTGGGATTTGGTGACTAGTTGTCGAATAAAACTGCATAGTTATTACAAATAAAATCATAGGTCTCACATATCTGTGAAGACTAGAACTGTACTTCCATTGTTCAATTGTGCCATCGCTACCAACAAAAAGCTCTCGAAAAGGAAAAAGATTAAACAACCAATCACACACTGTCTAAAAATTAATAAAATACTATTAGTACAATTTTAACTAAAAATGCAGGTTACTGTTACAAAAACTTCTAATATAAATAGATTTCAATGAAACTTGTTAATTCTAGAAAAAAACTTATTACAATTTAAGAAAAAAAAAACGCATTTTTACACAAATATTTATCATGTTTAATAAAACCTAATTTTACTTAACTTTTTTTTCTCTTAAATTTTTACATATTCTGATGTGTTTTAGATTTAATCTCAACTGATAGCAAGAAAAAATATAATTTCTGAAATGTTTGAATCATATTTGTCAAAATAAGTGTTGCCAGACTTGGTTAAATGACTTTATTGAAAGATAATATTATTTCCTAATATTTTAACGAATTGGAAACAATAATTAATTAAATATTTAATATTAATCCTGATAATATTTATGTTGATCTTAACTTTGAAATTAAGAATTTCATAATCTATTTTATCAAAAAAGTCAAGATAAAATGGAATAAAAATAACCAAATGCTACAAAGGATGATCAATAAATGGAATAAAAATAACCAAACACTACAAAGGATAATCAATAAAAATGTGATTTAATATTGGAGATTTTTTAAAAATGCTTCGACATTATTTTAAAATAAATTTGAAGTTAAATGACCAGTATATAAGAATTTCATTAAAAACTATACTAAAAAAAAAAACAAAATAAACAAACAAACAAAACAACTATTATTTTAAATGATACTTTTTTAAAAAATTATTTAAATTTTTTTGTTTTATATTTTAAAATAAAATTTTTAAAAAAATAAAATATAAGATTGAACCTGTGCAAATTGTGTTACCAAAGTTACTAGTAAACATAAGTCAGTTATTACTAGCTGACCGATAAGATATTTTTTCTAACAACAGTGTGTTTTATATTTTCAATTAAAAACTTTTTAAAAAATACAAAAATATTTACTTTTTAACACGCAATACTTTTATAGTTACAGTGCTCGAAGTGAGGCGGGATAGTATAATCAGGTGATTAGGTGATATGGCATTTTTAATTTACCAAATACCATCCTGTTACCTTTTTTTTTCCACTTCAAGTACTGTATAGTTACATATATATATATATATATATATATATATATATATATATATATATATATATATATATATATATATATATATATATATATATATATATATATATATATATATATATATATATATATATATATATATATATATATATATATACACACACACACACCTATAGTATCACTTACGGGGACAGATTTTACAAAAAAATCACTTACGGGGAAATTTTTGTGTTCCCTATAATTTTTTGTTCCCATAAACATCATTTTTTGTAAAAAAAAAAATGTCCTAATAAGCAACTTTTATAGAGAGCAAAAAGTACATATATCAACTATCAAATAGTCTGACTTGCAATGGAATGCTGCTACATCAACTCAGGCTTAGGGTTAGGGTTACAGCAAGGTTAAAATATTGTTATATTACTGTAATTAATTGTTTCTGTAAAAAATGAAAAAAAAAAAAAAAAGAAATATAATATATAATAAATAAAAATAACAAAAATAAATATAAAAAATACATTTTTGTAATAAAATAATAAATTTAAATATGTATAAATAAAAATAGAAATAAAATAAAAATTTAAAAAATATGATAAAAATAGTAGAAAAAAAGTAAAAACAAAAAATATTACGGGAATAAAAAAAACATGGCCCCATAAATGCAGACTAGGAGTATATATATATATATATATATATATATATATATATATATATATATATATATATATATATATATATATATATATATATATATATATATATATATATATATATATATATATATATATATATATATATATATATATATATATATATATATATATATATATGTATATATATATATATGCATATATATATATTTATATATCTATATGACAGGGGGCTTAAGGCTAAAGAAAACATTGTTAAAGCATTATATTAGGAAAAGTATTAAAATATCTTATATGTTTACCCAGAGTCATCCACTATAATAATCAGTAGTCAGGTATTTTTAATTTTCTGGGTATTTTTTCTGAGGTGAAAAAGCTGAAGAAAAAATTTAAAATGGCTGACTACTAAAATACAACTGTTACTAAATTATGAATACTAAAATAAGAACTGTTTAATTAAAAATAATTTATTATTAAAAAAAGGTGAAATTGTGGATAGAAAATAGCACAGAGCAAAAAAGTTAAAAGCCATAAACGAAAAGAAACTTTTAATTTAAATCAAGTCGCCTTTTTTTTATTACGTTTAGTAAAAATATATAGTGCACCGTATTGTATTTATTTTAAACGTATTGTATAATTTACATACATTTTTAAATGTAGAGTGCTCTAAATGCTTTTTTTGAAGGTTTCTTTTAAATAGTTAAAGAATAAAATCTTCATAGTTCAAAATATGGTTTTATTAACGAACACTCTTTAGTAAGTAACAAACTGTCTGGTATAAATTCAGTCATCCAATTTCATCAGGCAACCATGTTCCACAATTAATAGTTAAGGTTAAAAAACTAAACAGTATAACCATTACATTAGAAAAAACGAAGTTGTTGGAAGTCTGGTTGATAAAGATATGTATGCTGAAAAGATATCACAGCAAATCATGTGTTATTATCAGTATGTATTATTATGTTTTGCTGAGCAATTGAGATTAATGATAGACTACCTCTAAATAAGTGCTAAAATTTATGAAATAACAATTGAAATTAATTAATAGTAAATTAAATTAATAGAACTATTTAATGAAAACCTTTCCTTCTATTTATTTCAAAATACTAATGACCTTTGTCATGTATCTTTTTATACATAACTAATTACTATTTTATGCTTGAATTGATCTATTGAAGTTTTTTTGCAACTTGTTGGTATTGAAAATTAACAATTGTATAAAATTCTGTACCTTAACACGTTCACGCCGGCGTGTACCACTTCTGGTACACACTAGACTGTCTCATTGGGCAGCGTGTACCACTGGTGGTACACACTAGACTGTCTCATTGGGCGGCGTGTACCACCGATGGTACACGCCGCCCAATGAGACAGTCTAGTGTGTACCACTGGTGGTACACACCGCCCAATGAGACAGTCTAGTGTGTACCACCGGTGGACAGTCTAGTGTGTACCACCGGTGGACAGTCTAGTGTGTAATGAGACAGTCTAGTGTGTACCACCGGTACACGTCGGCGTGAACGTGTTAATACAAGAATAGATAAATTCATAAAATATTTTTAAAAAATTTGTAAATTTCCTACTTCATCCATATATTCATATTTCTTTATGTAAATTTCACTAAAAATATGTTACCTCATTTCCCCAAACAATAAAAACTAAAGCAAACATCAGTGAAAACTTGGCAATCATCCAATTGTTTGATATAGGTTGATCTAAAAATATTTCAAACTTTTAAACACTACAACTACTACATAAAATAATAAGTATCTGTAAAGAAATAGGATAAAGAAAAAACATATTATTATTAATGTAGATTAAATACAATATGAAACTAGAACCTTTTGCAACAACAAATATTGTAAGAAATGTATAATGTTACTTTTCAATGAAAACTTTTATGAGAAAAAATTTAATAATTTTAAAAAACTTTTAATGACATTTAATGACAACAACTATATGTTTGGTGAAAACCTACATTACAAACTGTTAGGAAATTCCTTGGAAATAAGGTTCATCAAATAAATGAATGTTAATAATGTTTATCAACATAGACATATAGCAATTTAACACAAGTTCAACAACCATCTAACCACACATCTAAACAACCTGATAAACTGTGACTTATATTATTTCATTACACAACAACATTATTTTAAAATAAAATATATATTTTTTTAATATTCATAAAAGAAATTATAACTTTTATTTTTCTCTTGAATTTTTGAATAGAAATAAAAAATAATTTTTGACTTACTAACAACAATATTGTGCGTTGTACGAGGAAATGAAACCATGAAAAAATATATAACAATGAACCATAAAGATAACATTGGAAGCAGCAAATAATATTGGTATGTGTGACCCATAATTAAGCATACAACGACACAAAAAATGTTCATGTGTGCCAATATCTACAAAAAAAAAAAAAAAAAAAAAAAAAAATCATCAAGGCAAAAATGTTTGACTATTTCAATCATTTTCTGAAATAAAACTATTTTAACAATTGCATATTTTTAGCTAACTTTAATGTACCAGGGAAACCTGTATGTATTTGTTTTTAAAAGAAAAGTTTGAAGTCCAGAAAAAGTTCACATTATATTTGTCAATTAAACTTTAAACTATCAAAAGACTTTGACTGAAAATAAAAACTTACATTACAGACTTTATATAAGTGAAAATAAAAACTTACCTTGCAGACTTTATATAAGTGAAAACTATTTGAATACCAAAAATACTTGTAATGGGAGAAACCAAACAAAAACAAGAGAAATGAAAAAGCCAAACGAACATTGACAAAAACAGGCAGAATCTAAGCAAAAAGAATGACTATTAACTAAAATCTCTGATTTTTAATACAAAATATATTTTAAAAAACTTAAATATAAACCTAAGTAAATGAAACTCAGTCTTTAAAATCTGTTGCACCTTTTGAACATCAGTGTAATTGTATAATATGATGACCAGAATAAGCCATCCTTTAAACTCACCAATTTGATCATCATTTAAAACTAAAGACTGTAAAAACAAATGGATAGGTTTTTTAAACAATTGAAAGTTTATTTTTTTTACTAACTTTATTAATCAAGTTAATTGTTTATATTTATGAAAACTTTTGTACAAAAAATATTTGTAAAAATTTTCAGCACTACTAAATTTAAATTTATCTATAATTAATATATATATATATATATTTTTATATATATATAATACTTATATATTCTAAACATATTTATTACTAAAACATATTTACATTATACTTAAGTAAATAACAGTTCCATTTAAATAAACATTCCATTTTATAACTTTAAATTGACAAATATTGTTAACAAACAAATTGAAAGTAGACAATATTACAAGTCTAAAGAACACCCACCATTTTCATCCTTAAATAACTTAATTTGCATTTTAACTGCAATATACTTCTTTGCAAACATAAAAAAGTACAAAAGCAAGCAGCAAAAATTTTCTTTTTTATCAATGTTTTTTTTAGCTCTAAATAGAAGACCGTTAAATTTGAATACCTATCTGAATTGTTAAATCCATTAAAATATTATTAATTTTATAAGACAATTTTAAAAGCCATAATATTTAAGTTGATAAAATAAAATTACCAACTTATTATACTGAAAGATATTTGTACAAATCACAAAAAGATGTTGTAAATAAGAATAGTAAACATTTGTGGTCTTAAAAAAAATCTGATTCTTTTGCTGTTTTGCTTATGATTTTGACAACTAAATAAGAGACAACTGTAAATGTACATTAGTAAAATTTTACTAAATTGCTCATTAAATCCAGTTTTTATACTCAAGCAGTTGTTATGGATAAATCATTCTGTCAATGCTAATGCATTAAAATATTTTTTCGAAAAAATATATTTAATCAAGACTCACTTTGTACACAGACTTTTATTAAACTTGTTTATTTTTTAACACAGAATATTAAATAAAAATGCAGAAATAATCTTCTAAATAATAGAAAACTTGAAATATTTGTACAAACTTATATTATTTATATTATTATGTGTTTGCAGTTATAAATGAAATAATAATCATGCTAACTGTACTGGTGTGAAAGTAGACAAAAGTTTAACAAGTTTTAAAAGTTTAACTTTTTGCCTTTCAAAAAGACAAAAGGGTACCTCCATTTAGCCAACATTTACATGAAGCTTCAGGTTAGAAGTTTGTCAATTACTTTTAAAAGAAAATTTTTGAAATGATTTTACAGATTTAAAGTCTGAAAACAAAAACAAAGTTAAACTTTTAAAAAGCTGATTTAGTTTTTTATTATGTTATCTTGAAGAGTACAAATAACATTTGAAGTTACTCAGCGTAGTTAAGGAGAGAAAAATTGCATTTCTTAAAAACTAAAATTTGCGTTATCAAACTTCAACTTTTTGTGTTTCGCTTATTTATAACTATTACTGTTATATATTTTTAAAAAGTAGAATTTAATCTTATTTTATATAATTTATTATTTTTTCATAAATCTTTTTTCAATCAAAGTATAAAACAAAATAAAACAACCACTAAAATACATATAACACGATAAGGCAGCCTCATGAAAACAGGTGAAACAAATGTAATAATTTTTTACATTCCAAAAGTATCTCTTTTACTTAAAAATAAAAAGCTACCATGTTTACAGCATTAAAATATTCAATAAATGGCTAAAAACCTTATATTTTTTCTTTCCGTAAACAGTAAAAATGTTAAAATCAAAGTTTTCACATTAGTTTTCTCTCATAGCAATTTACTTTCATAATCTCTTTATAGTCGTTTAAATAAATTACCTAAGGAAAAGGTTTCAGCTTTTATATAACTGCTGCCCCAAAGTAATTAGTTAAAATCTTAAACTCGTAGATTTTAAATTACCAAATATTTGTAAACAAAATAAAACAATGAGCTTCATGATTTTTTTTTTTAAATAAATTAATCAAAATGCACACAAAATAAAACAACGTTTTTTGAAAACGAAAGGGCCTGAACGCTATATTTTTCTTCGGATCTCTCCTTAACTACGTTGAGTATATAACAATATCTTTAATTATTATAGCACAATAATTATATAATAGATATATTAATATTTAACAATTAAATTTCTGTCACTATATCAGGTTAAACTACCAAAAAAAATTAATAAGAAATAATGATTACATTTTAAAAGTTAATTTTCATAAAAATAATTTTCCTCAAGATATTACAATGTTGCACTAAAAAAATATTTTCTTGTCAAAACAATAAAAATCTTTTTATATACTTTTAAAATCTATTTGTGTATAATGGAGATTTTGGGATAGAAAAGCTTCTCATATTTTCCTTAAAGTTTAATTTTTTATATGATATTCAATTCAAAAGTATTCTCTATGATCAGGGTTGGACTAGCTCTTTGTGGCGGCCCAGGGGATAATATTTCTAGTGGCCCTCTATAAAATCTTAAAAAAATCACATAATATATAAATAATGTGTTAATTAACTCTTAGGTACCTCAATTAACAATAGGTTACTTTAATTTATAAGTTTATTTATTACCATATTAAAAGAAGATAATTTAAATATCAAAATATTAACTCATCACACTTAATTATACTATCAAAGAATTTATATTAGTGGCCCATTGTCAAGAATTTATATTAGTGGCCCATTAGATTTATATTAGTGGCCCATTGTAAGTAAGATATCAGCTGCTTACCGGGGCATCCCCCGGCATCCCGTTGGACAAGTCCAACCCTGTCTATGATTAAAACTCAACTTCAATCACATAGATATTTAAATATTAAAAGTTTCTGTGTTGTTTTTTAAGTATCTAATTTTAAAAATATAAGTCACAAAATCTTTGTTTATTGTATCCACCTGTTAAAAAATGTGACATATAAAGCTGTGCATTTAGTAGGGGTGCACGGATGCATTGGCATCGGCCTGCTGATGCATCGACCATTTAGCCGATACATTGGCATCAGTTATAGTAACCATTGGCCAATGCCAATAGTTTTAAAAAATCAGTTTTTTTATTTTTATGTTTACAAAAGTATAATTATTCCACAAATGAAAATGCATGTATAAGCTTAAGTTATTATATAGACATATCTGCAACCACTAAACCTCCCTCTGGAGGTTTAGTGGTTGCAGATATGTCTATATAATAACTTAGGTTTACATTTATTCAGGAGCTTCCTGCGTTTAGTGTCTTTTTATAATTTAGGATAGTAATTATATGACTTATGGATTCAAACTACAAGGAGATGAGTTTAAAATCAAGAAATGTAAATGTAATGTAAAACTTAAAAATTTTCTGCCAGGTGTGTGTGTGTGTATATATATATATATATATATATATATATATATATATATATATATATATATATATATATATATATATATATATATATATATATATATATATATGTAAAGTACTGGTCAAAATTATAGCACAACCTCTTAAAATGGAAAATTTTTGTATGCATTAATCAGGCATGGACAGGAATGGCGTGCGATCGCACTCTGTAACTGACCATGCTAAGATTTTTTATTCTTCACAACTTGACCACGGCTATTTTGATGTTTTAACAATTTAAACGCAATAAGAAAAGTGTTATGTTTGAATAAGATTTAATCGTTGATCTTTTATTTTACACGAAGACCTTAATAAAACCATAAAAATAATTATATTGATTGTTTACATAAACGCATGTGTAAATTAATAAAAATGTTATAAATAAATTTTTTTTGTGCGGGCATGTACTTTTGATGATAAATTTAAACGTTTGAAACTATTTTTCCGTGTCTTCTTAAAAATCTTTTAAATCATTATTTTTAGAAAGAATTTTTTTAAGTTACTTTAATTTATTTTCAAAACCTTTTGTGAGTAATAGCTTTTACACATATTATGTGAATTATACAAGAAGATAAAATAACTTCATTTACTTATATAAGCATGTATTATGTTGATTAATGGAAAAGTTTTGAGGCATTTTGTAATGTTTATACGATTAGTTTTTATAATTAAACTTACGATTTTTTAAAATCTTTTAAACAAACATTTTATTTAAAAAAAAAACACTTGTTATAATTATTACGTTAGGAATGAACTTAAATCATTTATAATAATTTTTATATTCGTTAGGTGAAGCGCCTCTTAATGAAGTTGTACTGCTCAAATTAAAATTAAATTGCTTGTTGGCAGTTTATTTTATTTAAATCGCAGGAGCATTTTATTTATTTATTGTTTTGCAAATTTTTACAAATAAAAAAGTTGAAAACCTTTTTTTTAACTTGACTTACTAATTAGGGCATGAAATTATTAAAAATTAGTATTTTAAAAAGACAACCTTATTTAAACAATTTTTTTAAAAAAAAATAAATGTTTAAACAATTTAAAAATATTATATACAACACTTTTTAATGAATTTGATAAAATTTGTTCATTTGTTAAACAATAATTACTAGTAATTTCTTACTTTATTTAAAAGCGTTTTGCGTAACTTTAATGAAACGTTTAAAAAGATAAGTTTTATAACATAACATTTATTTCAAATGCAATTAAAAACGTAACAAAAAGTTTCACCTCGAGATCTTAGTGCTTACATTTTTCGTTAAGAACTTTTATTCGTTTCTTTTTTCGTTAGTTTTTTTTTAAAACTTTTTTCTAGTTTAAGTTTAGCTCAGAGTTTCTACATTCAGCGCATTTCTGAAATGTTTAAATCATCAAAACATACAAACAATCGTGGTCAAGTTGTCAAAAAATAAAGTCATTTGCGTGGTCAGCAATAGCGCTTGATCGCACGCCATTCCTGTCCAAGCCTGATTAATCATATTGTTGAGAGGTACTGTATTTTTGAAATGTGTTTACATTAGTCATTTAAAATGTGCCCATAAAATTAAAAATTTTGTTCATTATTCATCTTAGAAATGAACAATTTTACAAACATATACAAAAAATGTTGGTCAAATTTATAGCACACTCACATTCATATATAATTTTGACAGTGTGTACAAATAAATACATTGACGCATTGTTATGATGATATTATATTTTATCTACTAGCATCATAGTTAATTATTTAAAATAGCAAATCTTATAATTTGTCAAAGTTTTTTCAGTAATTTTAAAACTAAAATAAAATTTATGCAATGCGTTGCAAAGCAGTGAGCTTTAAGCGGATATGATATTGCTAAACGTGGTGATATTTGGTGATATTGCTAAACGTGTTAAACATCCAGAAAATTTGTCTCTAATATTGCTAATAAAATTGAATTGAATTTACCATTAAAAAATCAACTAGGACAACGTAGATGCACTAATTCTACAGAAGACCGCTATATAGTGACACTTAATAAAAAAAATCGTACTGATTCAAGTAGAAAAATTGTTTTGGAGTTGAATGCTGCAAAAGAAAAAACCATTAGTGAAAAAACAGTTTGTTGTCGTTTGTTAGAAAAAAGGGTTGAAAAATTTCACACAGAAACGACGTTTGCTATTAAAATAAGGCTCAGAAAAAGAAGAGACTCACTTGGTGTTGATTGGACTCGAAATCAACGGCACCATGTGGTATTTAACAACGAATCACATTTTTTCATAAATAAAAAGAATTGTAAGTTTGTACGTCGTCTTCCTAATGAAAAAGATTTACAATTAAATTTTACAACAAGAACACAAGATGGTAATGGAACTATTTCTGTATGGGGATGTTTTTCTGCAAATGGAACAGGTTTATTGAAGTTTTACAAAGGTCGTTTGAATGTTTCTCTTTATTTAGAAGTTATTGCTGAATTACCAGACTATATGGAGACTCTTTTTGATTCTGAAGATGAGGATTGTTATTTTATGCAAAACAATGCACCATGTCACAAACAAACAAAAAAACTCTGGAATGGTTTGCAACGAACAATATTTGGACAAGACTTCAATTGATCTTTGCATTAGATTGGTAAATTCTGGTACAGATCGATTTCTCGAATTTTTAAAACTAAAGGATCCAACATTTCCTCATATTCAATCAAATTCTGTTTTTTATCTATGTGCTATAATTATGAGCAGCTTATTATTCCTAAGTGAACTTTAAAACATGTTAACTTTAAATGTATTTTCTTCATTAAATTTTTATCTTACATTTGTGTTATAATTTTGACCAGTACTTGATATTCATTTAAAAACTACAAATATTAATTTTTTTTTAATTCATAAACTTTAATAAATACATGATAAATCTGTTTCATGGTCTCAACAAAATTGTTACAGCAATAAATGAAACCTAAAGCAAGAGCAAACATCTTACAGCATTTTAAGAAGTGGTTGTCATTAGAAACCAGTGGCAATTGTTTTACAAACTGTAATAATTGTAAATTAACAATACAACTAAAACTTATTGTGTTTTAACAATATAAATTGAGTATGTAAATGAGTGTTTTAATAATATAAATAAATTTTAACATTTTTGTTCAAATATAACTTAATTAAATGTATTTTGTTAACATTGGAATCCAAAACATTAACCTTAACAAAGAAAGACATGCATAAAAATACTTCTAGGAACATAGTTATTATTTTATAAGGTTTATAAATTGGATTTGTATAGACATGAATGGCTGTCAACCTGTCATGGTATATTTTCTTATCTTTTATCATAAATTATTGTTTCTTTGTTTAGGTAATTGTCTAGCTTGTTTTTAAAATTGCTCAAAGATGATGCATTAAAAACCTGGGAGGGAGTTCCATTTGCTAACTACTTATAAAGTGAAAAAGCCAAAAGTGTACTTCTTTTTATTTCTGTGCTATTTTTTAAGTATCTAGTTTTGTTTAATCACCACTAAAAAAAACTATAACTAAAAGAGATTGATTGGAGATTGTTGATTGGTTGAAACGAAAATACTCAATCCATTTTTGAATTCTTAATTTCAAGAAATTTTTTTTTGTTGAAATTATTATTCTTTTCTTATTTATTTGTTATTTTATCATTTCTTATTATTCAAATATTTGAAACTGGTAAATTATATAATAAAACAATACAAGTTTTTAAAAACATGAAGGTTTACAAAGTCTTGTTCATTTTGATAAAAATGCACATAAAACTAACAAAAAACGTACAGCAGATAAGAGTATTTTTTCATTCACTTAAACATACTTACAGTATTTGTTTTTCTTCTAACAGCAACCCCTGCAACAAATAAAACAGCTAAAACCACGAAGAAAGCAGTTGGTGAATACTGTTTGTGAGATTTATCATATAAGAATGAACTAAAAATAAGGAGCAAAACAAAAAAATATATTGATGTAGACAATATATTTTTTATGTATGACAAAAAATCAAAATCCACAAATTTTATTGACTTAATCAAAGTTGATTTTTAAATGACAAAATTATTAACTTGTTTCCTTAAAAAAAAACTTTTCTGTAGCAATTAGATTCAAGCATTGTTCAACAACTTACAATCATAAGATCTAATTATAAATAAAAAACATACAAAAGAACAACTGTGAAAAAAGAATAAAATAATAATAACAATAACAACAACAATAATAAAAATATATAGCAGTCAATAATAATTGAAAGCAGTTAAAATGCACTACATATTTGATGGATTGTTGATATTATATATTTGATCTAAATATGACAACACAGATTTTTGATTAACATTTTAACTTTGAAGTAGGGCTGTACCAGATTTCGGCTCCGGCTCCTGCTCCGGCCGAAATCCGGCGATTTTTACAAATCCGGCTCCGGCAAAAATTTAGCAAATCCGGCATAATTTTAGCCGGAGTTTTGAATTTTGTCAAATATTTATTACATTTTTTTTGCCCGTGTTTACATGTATACCTAATATTTTATTTATAAAAATCAATTTTTTTTGTAATTCTATATTTTATGAACCTCATATTTGTTTTGGTATTTGTATTTATATTTCTTTATAATTTAATAAGCTTAGTCTAATTTCAAACAACAATGCAACAAAAAATTCTGGGAAGGGAAGACACACGATATTCTACAATGATGCAGGTATAAAGACTATGATGTCAACCCTAATCAAGTGATTGGATGAGCGTTTTAAAAGCATTGAAAAGAGAAACCTCTTTATATACTGACGAGGCTGGTTGACTCCCAATTTAAAACTAAATTCTCCTCATTACAGGCAACAATGACAGCTGAAAAAACAAGATTGAAGTCAATCTGAGCATGCTGAACAGAAGATTGACAAAACTGAAGAAAATCCACCAAAATAAGCTGGGCTTAATCATTTTTCTACATCATCATTATCATTACTCTGGCAATTTATTGATAAAATTATTCAGTCTACGTCCGCTGGTGGCAGGGCACATAAACAACAATTACTAAAAGGCATTGAAACTCAGCTAAGGAAATATCCAAAAGAACCAGAAATAAATAGACACAACAGAGGCGGAGTGACAAAATCCCGGAAAAAAAGTTCAATAGAATTACTATAAACTTTTAAAACATATGGCCTATAGAATTTCTTTAGAATTTCTATTAACTTATATATAGAAATTGCTACAAAACTTTTTAAATAACAACAATGAAGTTTAACAGAAAACAGCAGTCACTTGGTATTCTGAATAGTCCACATTGTTAATCATGCTCAACACCAAGTAGCGATACAGGATTTTGGCTCCTGTAGTTTTGTTTTGAAATCCGGCTCCGATTCCGGCCGGATCTGTCAGTAGAAATCCGGCAAATCCCGCCATGGCCGGATTTGAAAAAATTAAATCCGGTACAGCCCTACTTTGAAGTTTTTATAATATATGAACCTTAATGAGGTGATTCTTATTAGAAATAAACTATTGCCAGCACTATATATTGACATTATACTGACATAAATATTGACATTGTAATGACAGCACTAAGCAAAAGTGGCTGAAGTCATTTTTTTTACATTTTTGATAATCACTAAAATTTTGATTAAATGTAAACTTGTTAAAATCCAACTAGGGCTCAATTTAATTTTTTATAAAGTCCCAGACAAAATGTCCGATCCAAACTTGTTTGGGTTGGACAGTGTCTGATCAAATTTTTGAAGTTTAATTTTCAGCGTTTTACGGAACCAAGTTAAGCAATTAAAATCTTTGTCATGTTATTCAGTTTATTTAACGTTAGTCTAGTGAAGTTGTAGTTTCTTTCCTTATTATTTAGAATATTTCATCGCAGATTTTTGTTTTTTAATAATTTCAATTTAATATTGTGTTTTATAAGACTTAATTTTTTGTGCTGTAACCGACAACACTTTTTTTTTTCTTTACAATTTGACAACGACTGTTTTGATATTTTAACAATTTAACAATTAAAAAAACTGTGTTACGTTATGAATAACTTTAAATCATTGACCTTTCTTAAAATTTTAATTTTAAACAAAGGCTTTAAATAAAATCAAAAATTAATTATAATGATCGTTTAAAATAAACATTAGTGTGTAAATTAAATGTTATATTAAAATTTTTTTAGTAGGTATGTTTTTTTTATGAAAACTTTAAACGTTTGAAACTATTTTTTCATGTCGTTCTAAAAACCTTTTAAAAGATTATTTTTTCAAGTTATTTTAAAGGGATCCCCAACTGCCGAGACAAGTTGTGTTCATATTAAAGAAAATGTTTAAAAAAAACATTTGGGCTAAATTTTTTTGATTGAAACTAAATAATGAATGCATACCAACAAAACTAAAATTATTGTTTTAGTCGAAGCTCGCCTTCTCCATTTTTTTGGTTCTCGGGGTCTGTATAATGTTAGCCACAATCTGTAGACTTGATAATTTATTCAATGCGTGTTGATTCATAATAGTTTCGGTATATGATGTCATCGCAATATCTTTTTAAGATTGCGTTTTTTTGTTGCTGTTATTTTAAAGATATAAGTATTTTTTTCTACTACAATCAGAAAATAAAACATTTTTATAATTTTTTACTAAATCAAAAAAAGTATTTGTGATTAAGTAAAAATTTATACAAAATATATATATATATATATATATATATATATATATATATATATATATATATATATATATATATATATATTTACAATTTTTTTTTTACTTGTTTTATTATTACTTTGTTGTAGAAGCCAGCCAAAATCATGACACAATTATACATACATTGTGATTATTAAAGTTCGCAGGCAGAGAAAAAATAAAGGCAGTATGATGCAGTTTTTCGTTTTATACTTAATTGATATGGTTCAATAGAGTTGTTCGTTTTATGTTTAACTTACATTTAGTTATGGTTTAACTCTTTCACTACCGCAAGCCGCTTGTAGCAGCTTTTGAGTATGCTTTACAATTTATCTTGTTTTTTACATAAATTTATATTCTTGACACATTGTTCTGAAGGTTTAATTAATTCTCTACATAATCAAGAAAATATAAGAGCTATATTGTGTAATTACAAAAACGTTATCACAAAGTTAAAAAATCTTGAATAATCCATTGTTAAAAAAACTTTAAATTTATTTATAAAATAAAAAAGCGTTAATACTGTAAAACTTGTAGAAGTGTTAAAGTAAAACTTGTAGAAGTGTTACTGTAAAACTTGTAGAAGTGTTAAGTATTTAGTTAAGTAATTACCAAAGTATTTTGAACAAAAAAAAAATATTTTTATTCATTAAATGAGGTTTGTTTTGGACTTAATGTTTTAATTACTACTTACAAAAACAATAGTTTTAAGCACTTTGCATTTCTTATTGTTTATTGATGCGTTTTAAAAACTTTATTATTATCGAATTTTAATTAATTGTCAATGTTATGCTATTCAAACGTTATTCAAAAAAATGTGCGGTTGCAACAACCATTTTTTGTTCAGCTGGTAGCGAACAATTTAATGCAATTCTTTGTTTTTTTATTTATAAAAAAACTATATTTTTTGTTTTTATATTTTATATTATAACTATTTCTTGTATATTTTAGTACAAATATTTATTTTAACTTTAACTTAGTTTGATTTGAACGGTTATTAGTAAAATAAGCCGTTTTATATTTATTTTTAAACTACGAATAAGTTTAAAAATAAATATAATATTTTATCTTTTTTTGTTTTGATTTATACAAAGAATTGTTTAAATTTTTTTTTTTTTAAATTGACTTATTAATTAAATCATGAATTGATTAAAAACTACGATTTTAAAAAGACTATATTATTTTTTTAAACAATTTTTTTTTGCAACTTTTTGAAAAAAAAATGTTTATACAACTAAAAAAATATTATACTTTTTTCTTTTCAATAAATTAATTTCACTTTTCAATAATTTAAATAAAATTTGTTCATTTATTAAACAATCAATAGAAGTAATTTGAAACAGCACTTTGCGTAACTTTTATTAAGCGTTTTAAAAGATCAGTTTTAAAGTAATTTTTTTCAAATGCAATTAAAAATATAACATAAAGTAATTTTAATTTCGAGTTTTTTTAGTTTTATTTTAAAGCTAATTTTTTTTGTAAGGAATTGTTTTGCTTATTTTAACATAAAGCAGTTTGTGTTATCACATAGCTCACCTGGAAAACTCAAAATGTCATTGTTAACTCTTGGAATTCTTAGTAAACAGATTTCAGAAGCTTTTTACAAAAATATGAATAAAACACAGAAGTATCTGTAAAACTAACTTTAAACCTCAAATCTGAAATGTTTTAATAAATGGAAACAAATGAATTAATTTTTTAGACTCATTTTGCAAGATAGTAAGTAGCAGTGATAAATCTAAGTAACTTTTTTAAGTAATTTTTAATCTAAGGTAAAAATGTTAGTGTGAACGAGAGCTGGTAAAAATGCCATTTTAAAAAATTACCACCTTAAATCAAAATCCAGATAACATCATTTATTTATGTTTATCCTCTAATTAGTGGGTTGCAGCGTTGTTATGTAATTAATACTCTGTTGAAAACTGAAATAGAATTTAGTTTTTAACATGGATCAACTATGTAGAGTTCATAAACAGTAGTAAACTTTGACAATAAAAATGTTGTACATCAAAAACTTAAAATAACAACAGCAAACATAACAAAAATATAAATATAAGATGAAATAAAAACATTTTTTTTTTACAATTTTTTTTATTTAGAAATTATTTCAAAATTTTATTTTTTGACTTCAAAATTTAGAAAAAAAAAAAAAAATGTTAATAATTTCAAATCTTAAAACAATATTATAACTTAAAATAAATACCTATCAGCCAGAAATATGTATAACATAATACCAGAAAGTTTAGCCATGTTTTTAATGACAACATACATCTTTTCAGAGTATAACCAAGGAGCAGTTGAAAAAGAATCATATCCTTTAACTTCTTCAGGTGTCAAACCTTAACAACAGACTGTAATTAGAACTGTTACCAATAAAATTTGTTTGACATAATAAAATAAAAGAACAAACTAAAAAATAAACACCAAAAAATAATTCTACAATAGAATAAACAAATAATTAAATTAAATCTAAAAAACAAAAAACTATCCTTGTCTGAATAATAATCATTATAACAAAAGAATAAAAAAATACAATCATATTTATTGTCTGAATTCAAAAAAAATACAATCATATTTTTTGTCCGAATTCAAAAAAAAAATCATATTTATTGTCTGAATTCAAAAAAATACAACCATTTATTGTCAGAATTCAAAAAATACAATCATATTTATTGTCTGAATTAAAAAAAAAAAAAAAAAAGACTTTTGCATTGTATATTTTTTAAGTTATTAAATAAGTTAACAGACTAAAAAAGATTAACACGATGGTCTCTCCCAAATATCAAGTTAAAAAATATATGATTTTTTGGAACAGAAAAAACAAACAAAAAAACTTGATAGTTTTTTGTTAACAAAAAATACTGAAAAAAAAAAATCAGTAAAAATTAATATGAATATTTTGCCACATAATAATATATTAAAATATTTATATTTTAAAGTAACATAAAACAATATTATTTTAAGGAGTTCAAAGAAAGGTGGAGCAGGAATGGAAAGATGAAGAGGTGGAGTAAAAGGTGGAAGAGAGGTAAAAAAGAGCAATTTCTCTTCATATTTTTATTGTCTAGAAAAAGAAAAAAGTTAAAGAATAAAAATTACCTTTGATATTAATTTGTCTTATTTTTCTTGTAAAAACCATTAGAATCCATAAGAGAACACTAAAATTTAAAATAATTAAAACTTATAATAAGAAATAAAAATTATTTAAAAAAAAAGTTATATTAAAATGTTTTTTTCCTTAGAATAATTTGCGATAAAACAATAAAACATTTTAAGTTAAATCCCTTTAGGATTAACCAAGCAATGTACCGTGTCCTAAAGACTGCTTTTACAGCATTCTTAAGCTTCCAATAAATTTAATAGTTTTTCTGAAATCTTTGTTAAATAGTTTGCACACAAATCATGAAGCGCAGAAAAAATTCCAAAAGTTCTTTAAAGCTTTTTTTGGAAATTTATGCAAATTAAAAAAACATAACAAATATTTTGTACTTCATGCAAAAAAAATGTTTCTGCTTTTATTACCATTTTCACCATTAATCATTTTCATTATTTATTTAAATAACTTAACACTTTTTAAAATTTACTTTTAATTAAATTCAAAAAAGAAAAAGCTTTCATAGAAAACAACTTTTCCATTAAAAAAGTGTTAATCTTACAGACTCAAAATTTAAATAAAGATTTTTACCAAGTTCCCAAAACTGAAAAGGCATTAAATTGTAATTTAGTGATCCGCTCAAGATCTTTGCAGCATGATGCATCATCTGGGTAAATGTAATTATTGCAAAAGCTATTTAGAATAGCATCCACTTTCTAAAACAATAGAAATGAAAAAACTAGTATAAAATTGATTTGTTTACAAACAAATTAAAGGTGGTTGTAATTTTAAATTAAATTAAAAAAATATCCAGCACACATATTTAAGAATAAACTTTGAATAATGAAGACCATCTGTTGTCTCATCTGGCATTCCAGCAGCCATCAAGGCAGTTGACTTTAAAATGCGTACATAACCAGTTTTCTGACTAAAGCATATAAAAAGAAATATAAACTGTTACCAAAAATATTTAGCATTTTCTTAGTTAGCAACTTTTAAATTTTTTTTTGTTGCATACTAGAAACTAATAACAAAGTAAAATATGAGTGGTAGTAGTGTTCACACATGTGGTGGAGTTCATGTGTTTGTAAAATGAGTAAAAATATAAATGGATTGGTATAGAACTTTCTTTATAAAAGAAGTTATGAAGATCAAAAAAATCCCTAATATTAGACTGAATTGTTTCAGTGACTTGTAAGTCAAGGTTTGTGTTTTAAGTTTAAGAGCCAAGAAAGAATATTTTAAAAAATTTTCCTGCTCATTTCACAGGTTTCATAAGAGAAAAATTTCTAAGGGAAATTTAAGATGCTTATGAGTTGAGATCACAGCATCTTATTATAAACTCATCATAAAACTAGCAGAAAAAAACAAACACATAACATAAAATAATACATAAAAAAATAAACACATAACATAAAAAAACAAACACATTAGCATATATCAAATTACAGCGATATAGATCTAGAGTATATAAGAACACACAGGTAGTAATTTGGCAATTTAAATTTATGCAATCTTATATTATATAGGAGCACACAGGTGGTAACAATGAAAAGTGAAGCTATCTATTTTATGTTATATAATTTACTCTATTATATTTATGCCATATACAAATAAGCTGCCTCTTGTTAGGTTACTACTATTTTGTATAAATCAAAAAGCCTGTTGGCAATTTAAATTTATGCAATCTTACTTATTTGAATTTTAATGTTACAAAAAATATATGTTTATATAATATATAAATATAGTATATATAATAGCTTTTATAATATATAAATATAGTTATATATAATATATAAATATAGTTTCAAAACATAAATTATATTACTTAATAATGCATGCTTTATTGCTCAATTTTTACAAACTCTTTATTTAATTTTTTGGTAAAAAAAAAACAAAACAAAATACAAACTATATTTATACATTTATAATTTTATTATTATTTTTTTTTTCTTGACTGTATTCACCTCCACAAGACTGCAGGAACCACAACAGTCAAGTAGGATACTCATTTTGCTGTTGTTGTTGTTGCTGTTGTTGTCACAGATAGTCATTATTTATCATTTAATACTCCAAAAACATGCTAACATACATAAAAATATCTTTTATTTAATATACACATTCTTTACATTTTACCATTATGCTTAGTTTAAAGAATCTTTTTAAATAATAATTGAGTTTAGCCAACAAAATTAATTGTTTAAAAGTACATTATTTAATTGTTTTACTTTGTCTAACAAGCGCAGTACAAACACAAGAACGAGAAACACAAGAAGAATGCTAAATGATGATGATGACGATAATGAAAACGATGATTCAAACTAATTGGATAAAAAATTTAATTTTAAAAATTAAGGCTTTTTGCTAAAGGTTCATTCTCCTCAATTTTTTAGCACAAAAAAATAGTGGATTTCAGAAATCTATAGTTTGATGCCGAAAAATGTGTTTAAATTTTATTAGTTTTAAAAAAACATTTTTTCTATTTTTCCAAAAATTTAGCGATTTCTGTTAAAATAATCAAAAACAAAACTAGCTTAAACTATGGAAGTACTCAATTAAAACAATTCAACTTGGCAGAAAATTATGCTTAATTTTTAATGAGACACAGGCATCTCATTTTGATCATAAAAAATATACTTTCTATTGCAACAGTTTCTGATTTAAACATTTATACAAAACTACCTGTTGTTGCAAACATAAATAAAAAAATTATTTCTATCAGACCGTGTTACATAAGTTTGTGTTTTAAGTAATAATTCAGCCTCAAAATTTTTTTAAGTTATAACATCCTTGAAAATAATTATTATAACTGTAATGAGCATAACTTTGCTGCATGGAATGATAAAGGAGATAGGAATGGAATTTAAGGCGTGATAAAGGAGATAGGGATGAAATTTAGGGCATGATAAAGGAGATAAGGATGGAATTTAACGCATGATAATTACTAGTAAAGCAATTATGCATATCAATTCCCTGCTAAACTAAAAAACAAAATCAAAATCATTAAACCATGTTGCTGCTATGCATGCAACATGTTTTAAAGACTTAGCCGATTAAATAAAATATTTCTTTTTTTATTTTATTTTACACTAAGATGAAGAATGTAAAGATTCTTACCAAGACAATGATGTAAAGATACTTACAGAATTTTTTGAGCAGCATAATTATAAATATCAATTTCTTTATTTGTAATTGTTTTTCTTGAATCACTTAATTTTTTTTCAACAACAGGATCTAAAAAAAAAATGTTCAACTACAACATCTAATTTTTCTACCACTCATTTTAACTTGATCATCAGATATTTTTTCTACTTTTTTTTTTTTTTTTTTTTTTTAATTTTAATTCACCTCCTCAAGGCCGAGACGGCCACTACAGACGAGGAGGCTACTTATTTGTGGCTATAACCCTCTCTCAACTCTATAACTCCGAAACACGAACCTTGACGAACAAGGCCGCTGCGCGGAGAAACGAGTTGAGCGCGGTACTACCAGGGACGTGGTGGGAATCGAACTCGGAACCACTCGTTTATGAAGCGAGCGCTCTACCACTACACCACTACCGCATAGTACTTGATTAATACTTGATTACATACTACTACATACTTGATTAATAACAATTTTAGTTTAACTTGTTGATCTAAAGAATGAAAATTTTTGATAATCTTTAATCCAATTTCTCCTCAGTCTATTTTCACTACTGTTCAATAAAAGGTTTATGTAAAGGTTTAATTTAGTTAAATTTTATTTCTGATTTTATCAGTTATCTGTGCTGACTTGTCCATCGCCATCAGAACAATCTTAAAAATATTGAAATAATTGCTGAGTGAAAAAATGATGAAAACTACTAAAGGAGTGGCGTAATTTACGAACGACCCCTAATATCTGCATAGAATAATTATTAATATAGCCTAAATAGAAAAAATAATAATACAGCCTGCATAAAAAATTAATAATATACCCTGCATAGAATAATTAATAATTAAGTCTGCATAGAATATCCTTGAGTATTAGCTTATGCATTAACTGATGAAACAATAGATTGTCTAAAGGTTTGTTTACTATTATTTCATCATGAATCTTGATCTCAATCAATGATTACCTTGTTGAATCCAAATCACTTGGCGTTCATGATGAAATCGACTTGAAAGATGGTCATATTTTTCTGCTTTGCTTTGACTCATATTCTGCCCAACAAGTTTAATGATACTAGACAATGAGTTTAGTTTTTCTATAATAAAACAAAAAAAAGTAACATATGTTAATTAAAAAATATTTAAATATGCAGCCCTCAGAACTAGGGTCTACTAAAAGTTTTTGAGGCCTGCAAAAAATTGCTGACATTCTATGTTTTATGGTAAAACCTTTGTGTTGAAATATTTTTGCTGACCATTTTTCCTAATTCTGAGTGCTGAATAAGAAACTGTTATTTATTTTTATAAATGTTACACATGAAAAAAAAAAATTAAACTTTAAAAATTAATTATACCTTGATAATCAACACTAAGAAAAGGTAAATTTTTTTTAATTGTCCACTAAAATCAAATACAAAAAATCTACTTAAAGTTAGAAAAAATTAAATTTTAGAATATAAATAATAAAAAAAGTAAAAGCACTTCAAACAATATTCTTATGATAAATAATTTACATTTATAATAGTATATAAAATAGGTATAATTGTATTGAAAACTTAAGACTAAAATCAAATTGAAAAAAAAACAAAACAAAAAACAACAACAAAAAAACAACTGAAATTTAAAGAAAATATTCAACTTAAAAAATACAAATAAGCTTACAGTTGCGACCCCCATGATTATAACATCTGGTTTTTTACCTCTGCTCTATATAAAATAAAAGAATAAACAATTCTAACAACACATACATACATACCAAACTTTCTTAGGAAAGCTGTGCAATTACATGCCTTATATGAGCATGCATACAATATTTTTTTTTGATAAATTAGCCACAGTTTTTATATTAATAATTTATTTAATTAATTTAAAAAAATTATTAATATAATTTTTATATTGATTATTTATTACACAGCATATATTGATAATTTACATGTAAACATGTGAAAATAATAGCGTAAAACCAATTTTTTTTTTTAATTCAAAAATGCCTCAATTAATAAATCAAATTTAATTATTTTAAAAGTGTTCTAATTAATAGTTTAAAGCTAATAGTTTTTCCTTTATTGTCACAAAGCTGTAGCACATAGGTTGATTAATTGTGTCATTTATGAAGCGCAACTATCATACCGGCATTGGTTGAAGGTTCTTATCCTACTAACAGAAGTTTTTTCATGCTTTATTTGCTTTGAAGACATTGAAAAGTTTTAAAATTTTAAAATAATTATGATTTGAAATAATTAGGCTAGGACTAAATAAATTTGAAGCTTCGATTTTTTTCTAAATTCTTTATAGTAAAACACTTTTAAATTAAAATAAAAACATTAATTTTATGCTTTTATTTTTCTTCTTTGTTTTTTATTCATTTTATCATTTGTTAAGACTTTTAATTTTTTAATTTGTTTTTTTTTTTTAATTTTTATTTCTCTTTCAAGTTTATAGTTTGTTTATTTTTAATTTTAGTTTATGTTTACATTTGTTTGTTAAGCCCACTTTTTAACATGCTAACTTAAAACATGCAAAATGCCATGGCCAAGTTGTCAAAACAAAATACTGTGTGCCTGGTCATATAAAACGTGCAACAGCACACCTTTCCTGAGAAATCTTGATACATACAAACATTTTATAGTCAAAATTATAACATAATTAAATGTATAAAATTATCTACAAACTCAAAACAAATTCTACTGCAAAATGGGATAAATGTGATTTTCTCAACAATTTATAATTTAATTTTCTTAGTTATAGACACTTTATTTACTATACTATAGACATATTTATATACTATAGACACTTTATTTAAATCTTTGAAATATTATTAGTGTCTAAAAATGTTGTGTCTTGTTCTTAATTTTAACAACACATGGCTAATTAATTAGCCATGTAAAAATAAACTGCCTATTTTGATTTCAGAGATTCACACAATTTTCAGCAAGGACTATCCACAAAAAAAAAAAAATTGTAAAAAAAACCCCAGCCAGCCATGTAGCTGTATAAACTATAGAGGTACTATACTGAACTTTGATGTTGAAAAAATTAATAACATTTTTTTAATTCTTTAATAAATGTTATTAATTTTCTAGTGAGATTATAGCATGGTATAAACCACCTAAAGGAGAATAGAAAGAATATATATACACACATAAAATTTCCTACCTTAATCCAATCTAGTAAAAGTTGCTCCATTGTGTCTGTAAGTTCAGGGTACCAATAAAATTCCTACAAATATTTTAGAGATTTTCAAGGATCATAACAAAATATCCAAAAAAATTGAACAAAAATCTCTCTTTACAACAGTATTTTTAAAATATATTTTCCAGGTTACAGATAGATTAACCTCAAAAACCCAAGGATCCCAAAAGCCTCACACTCAAATTTGTACCTGAAACTAATAAAGATTTCTTGTTTTTCAAAAGAAACTGTTAAAATAACCTAGTATTTTTATGAAAATTATAATGAAAACACTAAAAAAAATTTAATAAAAAAAATTCCTAATTTTTTATGTCTATAAAAACTTGAACTGTAAATGTTTAAAAACTTTAATTTGTTAACTTCAATGAAACTAATAGCCTAGTAAAAATATTTGTATAATGGGCATATAAACTGTTAGGATATTATACTACAGTAGTTCTATGGCACAACAGACACTTTACCTACAGTTACATTCATTTTTGCATTGTAAAAATGCTTCTTTTGTTTCTGTTTGTTACATTTTTTTAATTCCTAACCTTTTAGTTCTTGATTTATATTTACTTGAATTACCATTTCAATTTTTCTTTCATTGATCTGTGAACTTGTGTAACTCTTGTAGTAACAGTTGAATTTTTTAATAGAAGATTCAACAGCATATCTTTCAAAAGTTGAAGTGCTGAGTTAAATACTTTTAAAAGTATTAATACAGAAACTCTTATTAACTTGATCTGTTCATTGACGTTTAATTATGAAGTAGTTCCTCCATCACATCTTTCAGTTTTGACTATAAATTGTTTTATTTATTGAGTTAAAATCAATAAACATGTTATTTTTCAAACAACGATACTCATGATGGAGGTTAGAGTGTTGACTTTTTATACCTTTTATGAAATTTTTGAAACATTATAGTGGATGAGTATTTATGTATATTAGTTGAATATATCTGTTATTTGACTTAATTAAAAAAAAAAAGTCACTCACCACAGCAAACATATTTTCTTAAATAATTTTACATTAAAGTTTAGCTATTTGAAGAGATCAAATCAAAATATCAAATCAAAAAATCAAATTAAGATATCAAAAAAACAAATCAAAAAAAAAAAAAGAATAAATACACACTGAAAATCATCTCTGAAAACTTTAAAATATAATAACAAATTATAATAAATAATAATTAGTAATATTACCTTTCATGCAAATCAAAGGAAATTAAATTTTATTTTGAAAAAGTATATTTTTCAAATATATAAATATTTTTTTTAATATAGTGAAATAATTTCATTAGCATTTTATTTTTTTTAAATTTCATAAGAGCAATTAAAGAATTTAATTAACAAAATTAAGAAAAATTTTTAAAAAAATTTAGAAAAAATTAGATTTCACAATGTTACTAAAAAAGTGTAGTCAGTATTGAAAATTTAAACAGTTTAAAAAGAATGCCATCTAAAGCTACAGTGATTAAACGATACAAATTAAATGTATGTTTAGAAAAGTCAAAGTTAAATCGAATCAAAATAACTAGCTAAGGAGATTGTAACAAAAATTTTCATTTCCTACTTTGTCAAAGCAATCTGTTCATAGTAAAGTAGGAAAACAGATTATAATATTTAAGAAAACCAAAAAAATTAGTTAACACTTTTTTTCCTTATTTCTTTGATTAATTACTGAAGGGTATGTGACTGATTGTGTGGCTGAAGTGAAGATAAAATTTTTTAGAAACTTCAGATAAAAACACAAGGAAGAGCAGGTTAATGTCCTAATAAAGTAGATGACTCAATGAAAATTCATCCATCATAGAGAATCAGAAAAATCTAAAATGAAAACTTGAATGACTCATCTATAGAAGATACAGATAATACTGATTCTGATAATATGGTAATTGAGAGGTGGATAATATGGTAAGTGGAGGTGAATGTTTTGACACACCAATACCTGACGCCAGAAAGAAGAAAAAAACTGTTGTATCAAAAAATTTGTATCAAACAAATGTTGCATCAAAAAAAAATTTAAAATTAAAATTGGTGTCTCCATTTTGATGGAAAATATTTTAACTATATTGAACACCAAGTAGTGGTTCTGAAAAATGTTACAAAGGAAGTAAAATTAGCTGTTCTTGTCTTAAAAGATGATAAAGTTGAAACAATTTTTAATGGATTGGTGGAAATTCTTGACTCTTTGATTTATGGAATTGTATAAAATGATTATAGCAGATACAACTGCTGTTAATACTGGTAAAAAAAAAAATGGTACAGTAACTTGACTACAAAAAAAATTTAGTTACCTTGGGTTATATAATCCACAATATGATTAATGTCAACATCATGTTTTAGACAGAGTTTTGAAGTTGGTCATTGATTCAGAGTTTTGAAGTTGGTCATTGAAGTGTAAGTTAGGCGAGGTAGAGTTTTCAAGACATACAGTCTTGAAAACTCTACCTCGCCTGACTTACACTATTCTTTTATTAAATTCATTCTTAAAAATTACGAAAATCTTGTTGTAGCATTTGACAACAATTATTCATTAAACTTCAAAGTTTTAGGATGGAGAGATGATATGATATGATATGATATGATATATATATATATATATATATGTATATATATATATATATATATATATATATATATATATATATATATATATATATATATATATATATATATATATATATATATATATATATATATATGAGAGAGATATGATATGAGAGAGATGATATGAAATTGCTTTACAATCTTTATATAAAGAAAATGGATATTTTTCTAAAATTATTTTTCTGATACATTACCATCTCTTTAATGCACAAGATGGAATTCAAGAGCAATTTATGCATTTTTAAGTTATTTTACTCAAGTTATTTAACTTATCTAGAGAACAAGTAGAAGTAGTTTATGATTTTTTAGAGGTAACTGGCACAAAACATGGCGTGGGAAACATATTTTTAATAAAAATGATTTTAGTGATCTTAAAAAAGATATCAAGAACGTTGGAAATTGCCAGAAAGCTCTTTCCTGTCTGAAAACACATTCTACTAAAAAACCATCAATTATTAAAAACTTCCAGTGGAGTTGCTCAAGACTTGCCTGGATGTATAAACTCTGAGAAACTTAATTTAAAATTTATTTTGTCTAATATTAAGGTGTAAAAAAAAAGAAAATTAATTACAAACTGCAAATACAAATACAACATTATTTTAATGATTAATAATATTTTTGTTTTTATTAGTGGGTGAAGTTTTTGAAAAATCAATGTAAATGAATATGATTTTATGTTATTATAGATAATTTTTCATTAGAAAATAATATAGGACATAAGTGTTGTAAAAAAGTCAACACCCTAATGGAGGTTTTTGCTGAGTTGACTTAAAAGCTTTGTCACGCCAGTGGTTTCAGATGGAATTAAAAACACATATACTTTTTATTATAATTAAAACTCTAATACATTGAAATTAAAGCATTAATGCTTCTCATCAGAAACCAGGACTACTTGGCCATGCCAATTTTTTTCAGTAAGATATTTATCAAACTCTTTATACATATCTAGCAACAACTTCGGATCAGATACACCATGATTGCATTTATTCTTTTTTACATCGTTGAACAATTTACTCTTATTCTTTATAAGTACTTCAGCATCAAAACCTGAATTGACTTGATCAGTAAACACATTTTTAACTTTTTTTGTTGATATCAATGTTTATTAGTTTGTCTAAACAAGTTTTGGAATCAAAAATATTAAAAAAAAAAACAAGTTAAACCATGTTTTTTGAGGTCCCTCAAAAAAAAAAATATATATATATATATATATATATATATATATATATATATATATATATATATATATATATATATATATATATATATATATATAAAGAAAAAATAATATGTAAAAAAACAAAAAAAGTTAAATATGATTACAAAAACATCATTGGGAATAACTTTTAGCATAAAAAAATAACAGAAAAAAGCTAAAAATAAAATTCTTTTCTTTTCTTTACAAAAGATTATGCAGCTTTTTGGGCTTGTTTACCTGTACTATGCAACAGTAGCCACTCGTGTTATTGTTTACCTGTACTATGCAACAGTAGCCACTCGTGTTATTGTTTACCTGTACTATGCAACAGTAGCCACTTGTGTTATTGTTTACCTTTACTATGCAACAGTAGCCACTCGTGTTATTGGTTAATTATGATGCATCAGCGAATGCTAATTAATAAACCAATACCATCGGCCAAGTCACTGCTGATGTATAGATTTATCATATATGTGCATTTTACATCCCTAATGCTGTTATATTATCCTTATATATATATACATTAAACCCTACTATTAGCTACAATTGGCCTTTGATATGGTTACATCACTAATAAACTATCGATTGCATATCCAAACATAAACTAAAAATTACAAAATATCCAAAATAACAAAAATAATGTTTAAAATAAAATGCATACAATTGATGTATTTGTTGCTTTATCTTCATACTTAAGATTTTCGTGCTAAAAAATAAAATCTTCTTTTAACATTCAATTGTATACACACAATTAATATAGAAATTTAAAAAATTAAGAAACTAAACAATCAAATAACTAATAGTGCTGGAAACTATTATTTCAACTTAAAACTAAAATTTTATTTGACCAGTGCTGTAGTTCAGTTTGAGTAGTGTGTGGCACAGTTTAGTAGCGATTGCAGTTAAAAATCATATTTCAATATGGCACAGTTGAGTAAGTGCTGTAGCACAGTTGAGTAATAATTGCAATTAAAAAAATATTTTTTAATTACACATTTAAATAGTTTTGTAAAATTGCAGTTAAAAAAATACTTTTTAATTGCACATTTGAATAGTTTTGTAAAATTGCAGTTAAAAAAATATTTTTTAATTGCATATTTGAATAGTGTTGTAGCCTAGTTGAGCAATGTTTGCAGTTGAAAAATTTTTTTAATGTTGCACAGTTTAGTATTAATAAATGTTTTTTTTGATTTTATTTTAATTGTTTTGCTTACAATAAAAATTAAAATTTGGAATTTAAACAGAATGTTGGTTTCTCAGTTTTATTTTAATTTTTTTATCAGAAATTTGAAAAAAACATTTTTTTTTGTAAATATAAATTTGAATTCAAATAAAATGCTCACTTTTTTAAAATTATTTAGATTAATACCTTCATTTTGCTGATGTATTTTTAAATTAACTGGTTCAGAAATTAAATAAAACTTTTAAATTTGTGTAATGTAAGTTAAAACTACATGTGTTTACTAAAGTTCTGGCACTTTTTTGTTAACAAAACGAATGTTATCATGTCATTAAGTAATTCACATTACTTAATGACATAATAACATATGATATGAATTACTTAATATGACATATTAAGTAATTCACATCGTTGCGTTGGTTTGACAAGGTTCTAACTGAAACTTTATATTAGGAAAACTTACAAAAAAATCTTTACTTTTTTTAATGCTAATTAAAATTATTTATAGTTTTTTTACTTATTTATGTATTCTTATTTTGGTTGACATATAAATATATAAATAAAAAAAAAAGAATTATATAAATATTTTTATTTAGACAATAGGAAAAAAAAATTAATTTGCTGTTCTCCTAATACAAAAAAAAATCAGTTAGAACCTTATTTATCTTTGTTCTAATAAAACAAATCATTTGTAAATCTTTAAAACATATCACCCTGAATCAAATGAATCAAATCTTAACCCCTTCCCTCCTGTCACAAAAATTATTTTAGTATTACAATAAAATTGTAATACTAAAATAATTTTTCAAAATTGCTCTTGGTCTTGCGGAAAAACTGTTTTTGATTTGATAACTTTCATAAAAGTTATGAAAAATCACTCAAGATGAGTGACACCAGTTTTTCAAATTTCCTTTGTTAATCATTTTAATGAGTGAGTTTTAATATTTTGCAATTCTTTTCCGAAGTAACTCTAACCGTTAATAATAGATATAAAAAATCCACGATAATATTCGCTCGGTAATGTAGGTGATGCAATGTAAGTTAAATATATAGTATCGAAAAATTAAGTTTATTTTCTTTAGTTGGTCACCTCTGATAAATTTTTATATATTTTTCAAATTGGCATTTTATTCTTTAGACTAACAGCTTTCATACAAAATAACTAAAAGTTTAATTTTGATGATTTTATGAAATTTTAGTATGCATTGTATGCATTATGCATAGTATGCATTAATATCTCCAAATTACATCATGACTATTTGTAAAACCTTGTTTTTCTAAACTCTAATATTTTTTTCTGGTCAAACATGATCAGCATGAATTCATTTTTAAGAGGTCAAAATTGCAACTTAAGTCATTTCAGGGGGTCATTGACCGGCCATTTTCCACGCTGTGTATATATATATATATATATATATATATATATATATATATATATATATATATATATATATATATATATATATATATATATATATACACACACACATATATATATCAGACTTGGTCGGTAAGCAGGTCCAATCACACTTTATATCTGACTATACATATAAAATTTAGTTGCAGTAACTTGACCACGGCTTTTTAGATGTTTTAAGAACATTTCAAAAACAAGCAAAAAAAACACATTTGACTTGATAATATATAAATATTATATAAGAAGTTTAGAACTAATAATTCTAAACTTCTTATATAATATTTTTTATAAAATTAAAGGAACTCTTTTAATCAAAGTAAAAACATATTGTTAATGATCTTATGTATATGCATACACATATTATAGTAAACTCCCAATAACTCAAAGTGTTTTCAAATTCCTGTCAAACCCAATTTCTCATAAAAATCACTTGATAACTTGAAAATTTAATTAGTTAAACCATTTTTTTTTCTTCCTTAGAGTTTTGAGTAATTGGGAGTTTACTGAATTTATATCATTCATATATATTTTGATTGAAATAAAATTTAAAATTACGAATTTCCCAGCAGAAACAGTTTCAGCAATGGAATCAACCAATTCATAGTACACACTTCTGATGCGCGAGTCACCAATAAATGCAACTTTTTGATTGTGTAAACATACTTTGATCTCACTAAAAAAAAAAAAATTTAATAAAAACTAATCTTACTTAAAAAATTAAAAAGTACAACAGAAATGCAAAAACTTGTTTTAAAATAAAGTATCAACTATGTTTTGTAAAGTATTAGTTTATTCTCCACATATTGATTAAACAACAATAATACACATAAAAAACTTAATTAGTTGGTTTATAATAATTGGTAAATATTAAAAAAACAGAATTAAAATAATTTGATAGTTATGTGTATAAAAAATACAAATGTAAAAATTTCTAAAATTATTGAAACAAGCTTTCTACTAAAACTTATCTCCAAAAAACAAAACAAGTTTTGAATTTTTTTTATCAAAAAAAAATGTTGTTAAATAATAAGTATACTAAAATATATATAAATTTGGTCACCCTGGTCACTTTTTGCAATCATTGTGTCTCATGAACAAGTTAACTCAATAAAAAACATATATTAACTATTTTTGTTATTTCTATATAAGTGAATGAAAACTTAAATAGATCATTTACCTAAATTTTAAAACAATTTTTACTGTTTTAAAATTTAAACAATTGACTTTTCATGCAAAAAAATTAAGAAATTAATAAGAGATTACCCAATGTTATTTAGGGTGATAGCTGTCTTGGCTTACAATTCTAAGTTTATAACAGAAGAGATAGTGGAGCCAGTGGATTTCATCAAAGAAAAAGAAAAGAATTTGAAGGCAATCCAATTTTCACGCTAACAAACTGGTAAAAATTGGTCAACCATCAGAGGGTACTAGATGACACAACAACTGGAGTTGTTTACAATAACAACCTGAGTTTTCACAGAGAAAATATCAGCACTTGAAATAGACAAAGCCACCCTAAAACCTGAACAACAACTTTTTCACAAAGATAGTTAACTCAACATCTTAAACAGATGTGGTAGCTAACCCTGAATCAACAGCCACTAAATATACCAAATAAAACAAAAGGATATAAAGAGCTATAGTAAATTGTATAGTCATTTATCGTCTTTTTTTTTTTTTTTTGTTATTCACCTTCTCAAGGCCAAGAAGGCCACTACAGACAAGGAGGCTACTTAATAGAGGTTATAACCCTCTCTCAACTCTATAACTCCAAAATAAGAACCTTGACGAACAAGGCCGCTGGGCGGAGAAACAAGTTGAGCGCGGTACTACCAGTTGATAACAGGTTTGGTCAGAAAGAAGTGTGATCCCACGCCATCCTGAAAAATATGATCATGCAAATAACAATTTTGTTTTGATAATTAGACCACGGCTGTTAATATGTTTTCGATTTTAAACTTTTTAAAAATACGGTAAAAAACTTATCAAGACTTTACTGAAAAAAACTTTAAAAACTAAATAAAAACATTTTAAAAAAGATAAAAAATCTTAATGAATGAAAAAATAAAAAGAACTTAACTAAAACTAAAACACAAAAATATAACTCATAATAAAACACAAAAATTAAAACTAAAATCATTTAAATCAAGTTTTTAACTGTGTTTGAGATAATAAACTTTGAATTTTTTAATCTTTTCTCACATTTTTATAATATTATGGAAAATCCTTTTAAATAAAGTAACAAAAATAAAGTTATTATCAATGTTAATATAAATAATATATTATAATATTATATATATAAATAATATACATATATATATATATATATATATATATATATATATATATATATATATATATATATATATATATATATATATATAAATAATATATATATATAAATTATATATATAAATAATATATATATATAAACAATATATATATAAATAATATATATATATAAATAATATATTATAATATTATATATATATAAATAATATATTATAATATTACAAAAGTTAATAATAAACTTACTTCTAATTATTGTCTAATAATTGCGCATATTTGATTTAAATTATAGTGTTTTTTTTTTACTCATTTAAAAATATTAGGTTTCCATATAAACACTTGCTAGTAAATATTTATGCATTTAAAAGAAAAAAATGATTAATTCATAATACTTATTAACATTTTAACCCTAAAACCACTGAAATAAAAAACTATGCAAAATAGAAATATAAATTAATTGAAATTGTTATCAGAAATGACCACAGCAATCAAACTGAAAGTGCTGTAAGTGTTAAAAATGTCTTTGATAGGAATATGACAGACAAAAAACAATCTTAATGTATAAAATTATTAAAACTTTTAAATTTAAATAATATTGCATTTTAGTGATTAAACTTAGTGGTTAAGTGGTCTTTAAAAAAGAAATCAACTTTTAAACTTGCAATATTTAAAAACTATTTTATAATATAAGGATAACCTAACATCTCTTCTTGTAGTAAAAAAAAAATTTTACCCATGAGAGTTAAGCAACTAGTAAAAGCATAACCCATGGTAACTAAAAACAAATTTGTTTGGGATTTTACAGAATTTTTCTAAATTATTAAGATAATTCCAGGAATTTCCAGGGTTTTTTTTTAATAAATGGAATCCTGTATAAAGGATATTTTAGAGATTTAAGTTAACAAAACTTATCTTGTACACCTTATTGAATAACGATGCATAATGCATCCCTCTGGCTGCCATTGACGACCAATCCAATACCCCGATTCAAACAATAATGGGCATTTGTGACCAGAATAATCTAAAAAAAAATTAACAATCATAGGAAACATGAAGCAAAAAAAAATAAAAATAAATAAATGTTTAAAAAAAAAGGTTTAAAGAATATTTAAATAAAACTAAAATTTTTAGCAAGATGTGATGTGACATGAGCAGTGCCAACAATAGCCGTTTGAAGTTTTGCTAAAATATGTTATATCGTACAAAAAGACAAATTCTTAAACTGATTCATTTTAAAGACATTGCAATAGTATCTACAAACAGTAGTCTCTTTTTTCAAACCCTTATTCCAATGTTGAGCATCCTTAACGTCCAAAAACTGGGACTTTTAGGGAATAGGCAATTTGGGATATAAAGGGATAGACGCATCACAATGTACATACATAGACTGATTTATATAGCCATAGACATAGTGATTATGCATACATCGACTGAGGGTTTGGGTTTGGGCAGGTTGTCTTGAACTAAATGATAAATCTTTTTCATGTTTGCAGACTTAAAGGAGACCATCTGAATATAGGTTTGATAAGAGAGCTTACCCAACAAAAAAAGATAGTACCTACAAAACAAGAGTAAAAGAAATTCAATGTTTGAAACTTTTAAATAAGATATATATTTCTCTTCTAATACACTCAAGTTACACAAACTATTTTTAAAAACTTATATACATATATATTATAAATGAAAAATTTCTTAGGTGTAATTATATATAAAGATTAAGTGAAAATTTTAAAGTTTAAAAAAAAAAGTTAAATTGTGCAAAAGTGCTTTCATTAAAATCTGAATAAAAAGATGTTATTAAAATAAAATGTGCAATAACCACTGAAAAATGTATCCTCTTTGAACCTTCTGATAAATATGAGGGCAAAATCTGTTCATTAAGAATGTTAGAATGTTGATAAAGTCTGTCAAGGAAACAATAGCTGTGATGAACAAAAGCACAATAGCGAAAATAAATAATAATAACAAATAGAAAAAAAAAATGGAAATGGCTTCAGAAAGCTTCTTTATAAAAAAAACGTAATTATAGATCACAAACTAAGTCAAACAAACCAACTTAATAAAAAAGTATGGTTGTCTAGGAGTAATGAGGTTGTGCAATAAAAACAACAGGTAATTGTATAAACAGATGCGTCACAAAAGGTTTTCATCTTTCAAAAATTTTACTAGGCAAGTATAACTCCAAAGCTGTACAAGATTCAAGCTATTAGCTGAGAGCTGATTGAAATAATCAAAATATTCCAAATTTTGAAAAACTAAACTCATTAACTTTACCCTCAAAGTAGAAAATTAGAAAACTGTGTTTCTTATAAACTAATGTCATCAACATAAGCAAACTAAAGTTTTTATTTTTTAGCTTTTGAATCATAAATGGTTAAGTATACCCTTATGAGTCCTTTTTTTTTTTTTATTTTTTCTTTGTATGTTTTTATGCTATATTTTTGTAATACAACACAATATATATCCAAATATTAAAATATCTAAAAGTTTTGTGGGCTTTTTGTGTACTAATAATACTCATAACCTGAGCTGGTAGAAACCAGATTTTTCGAAACACATTTCTTGAACCCTTTAATTAGCTATTCAGACACTAATGACTAACGACTATATTTCTGATAATGACTATAATGATATCATAATGACTGATATGTAAAAACAATAAAACAATATTTTGAGTTAAAATTTTATGTAATTTTTTTTAAGAAATATCTTTTTTTTTTTAATGAAATATTATTCCATTAAGGTTTTTTTTTAATAAAATTATTATTTTATCAATATTTTGTTATTGTTTATAAAATTTTGTATTTATTCTTTATTATTTGAACTTATGTGCATAATTTTATATTTTTCAAAATTAATCCTAATTTCCATTTTGTAGACCATTCTTCAAGTTTATTTAAATCATTCTAAAACAACCGCGAATCATTTTGTGAAGATATAGGTGCAATTATCTTACTATCATCAACATTTAAACAACATTCATTAATAAAATTTTCTGGTAAATCATTTATAAATACCAGAGAAAGGAGAAGACCTAGAACAGACCCTTGTGGTACACCACTGAATACATCAACCCAATCTGCCACACTTTCACCTAAAACCATTTGTTGTTTTCCGTTAGCTAAGAAACAGACTATCCTCCTAAGAACTTTACCAGAAATCCCAGAAGTCAATAACTTGATTAATAACTTCTAAGTAAAACAATATCTAAAGTTATTATTTAATAATAAATTTAAGTAAGGTATATTATGCAATTCAAAAATGCTTGTATCATTATCATCAACTCACACAGAATGAAAATATTTATTTAGTTCAGTAGCTATAGTGAATTGATCATTTATGATTTTACCATTTTTATTCTCTCGTGCTCGAATTTGAGTTTTCACTGATTTCTTCTTATTGATATATTTATAAAGCAATTAAGGATTTGATTTGAATTTGCTATAGTACTTTCTAATTGTTTTACATTGTTCTTGATATCATTTTTTTTCCAGTTTTGAACTTTTTATATTCAGTTTTTCTTAATTTGTCATTCCAACCATTGCATTTATTAGAAAGCCATATATTGTTTTTAGTTCTTATTTTATGTTTCAATTCAGGAATAATTCATTTGTTTATATGGAATTAGTTTCGAGGTAAACTCTTTATTAATGCTTTTATTGTCTTTATCTCTCAATCCAGTAGCAAACACTACTTTTTCTTTAGACCTTTATTATTTAAAAATATATTTGTTGTATACAGTGGAAAAATGAGGCATGCAGAAACTCCATAAAACAATAACATTAATTGAACAACCTTTCCCCACTCCATAAATGGTAAAAATCCAAATTCAATATCTATTAATAAAATATTATTATTATTTCTGTCTATAATAAATATATTACTACTTCTATTAATTTTTACAACTTTTATTTTTTTACTAATATTATTAATGTATTATTCAATATTTTTACTTCTACTCAATAATACTATTTGCTTAATATACTTCAACCAATTTTAATACTTTTATGATTGTTGTTAACAGTTATAATCTTTAAATACTTATTAAATTATTGTTATTATTACATTACTACTTTTAAACACCTTATTTTCATTATACACTTTACTATTGTGTTATTAGCTTTTTTACAAATCTCTCTGGTTTGAATTAGTTTTATTCTACTTCTGCTTTCCCGTTAAAAATATAATATTTGTAATAATGTTTACTACATTGTAAAAATATATTTTGTATTTGTGTGCGTGAATAATAATGATCGAAAAACATACTAAAAGTTTTTTAATCAAAAATGCATCAATTCTAACCATTTTTGAATAATCTGTAAAAATGAAAAGTAGCCGATAAAAATATTATAAACCAAGCAATGCATTTGCAAAATTTTCCAGCATTATAAAAAGGAAAACAGAGAGGTGAAGTGAGTTTTTTTTCAGTGACAACATCGCCAGATGCTTCTTCCATATTTATCTGCAAATTTCACTTCGTTGCATTGCGATAGCAACAATTATCTTTTTTTTTTTTTTTTTTTTTTTTTTTTTTTTTTTTTGGTTTACTTTCCGGTAGTGCTCGGATCTTTTACTTTTTGATTACCCGGCTATCAGTTTTTTAAAACTTTATAAAGACCGTTTTTAAAAAGTTTGTAACATTAAAAAGGTCCTAAATCATTTCTCTAATATTGAGCGTCCTTCACGTCCGCTAACTCCGTAAACTGGGATATATCACTGATCTCTATAATATAGAGATCAGTAGGATATATAGAGATAGACGTAGGATATAAGGGATATGTGCAGTAAGTGTACTTAAGGAAGGGCTTGAGTTTACCATTGAGGATTTGAATTTGGACAGGCAGTCTTTTAAATAAAAATGTAGAGAAAATTTGTCGCCAAATGTATTACAAATTTTTTTTTTATGAAACCTAAAAACAAATATAATTTTCGAATTAATAACAGTCTTATTGCCCCTTTTTGTCGTAAAAGCAAAGACCAGTTTTTTGTTTCTTACCGAGGTCCTTATCTCTGGAACAAAATAGTCTTACCAAATTTTGATTTTTCAACCCAAATGACTTTTGCTTCATTCAAACAGAAACTTAAAGAAATTATATTTTTAATTGAAAATATCTTGATTTATTTTTAATTGCCTTTTTTTTTGTTTTGTTTTTGTTGTTGTTTTATTTTGTATATTATTTAGTTTAAAATTTTATCTTGGCTTTTTAACATTTATCTTGGTTTTTAAATATTTTTGCATAAAGGTGTATTATTATTTCACTACAGACATTGTATTTTTATTAAAAGTTAACCATATATTGTAAAGGGCTTCATGACAAGATCCTCATGATCTTCTAGAAGTCCTGTCGTTACTAATGTAAAAAATTGTAAATATTTAAAAAAAAAAAAAAAAAAAAAAAAAAGATTAAAAAAAAAAAAAAAATAAAAATAAAAGGATAGTTTTTTTTATGTTTGCGGACCTGAAAGAATATAAGTTATATTTGGAAATCAGTGGAGTTTTACATGGAAAAAAGTTAAAGTGCTGTTTAAATCAGTGGCATATTATGATATATATATTCTTAATATATCATTAGATTAAATGGTTTTCAAAACCCAATTATTATTGGGTAATATTAGCAAACCGTAATATTACGACTAATACAACTAACATTTTATATATTTTTTATTAACCACCCTCCGTAAATGGTTGGCACTTTTTTCAAACTTCTAAACTGACATTATCTCTCACAGAGCACCGTGGAAGATCATTTAATTAGGAAGTTCACGCCTCCTTCCTCACCAATCCCGGTTAAAAGGTAGAGCCGGTGGACCTCTTGGTTTGGAGCCTCTAACCACTACGCTACGGCTGCCAATTTTTCTTTTATTTGCTTAAAACCAAACCAGTTGATGTAACTACACTAGCAGCGCTTATCCCTATTTAATTCAGTCAATGTATACACACTCCGCAGCTCTTTCTTGCATTTCTCAGTTTGCCTAACCCCTGTAAACCCAAATTTGCGGCCGTGAAGGATGCTCAATGTCGTAATAAAGGTTTCACAACGGAATATAGCGGTTCACCTTAGTTAATATTTTTACCAGATAAAATCTAAAAACAAACACAAAATAGTTCAAAAAGAAGCAAGAATAAAAGAAGATAAAAATGAATTAACAAATAATCATTTTAGGAATGTTTTTTTCAAAAGTAATTTTGAAAATTGTTCACTGTTTTTTCACATTCTAACATTGAACTGCCTGCACCAAAAAGCAGAGTATCTTCAGGAATTATATTTTCTGAATCTCTAATACTTACTTTCTAAATATCAAATTAACCATCATTAAAGTTTTCTATCTATAAATATTCCAAACTCCTTTATTCAAAAAAGGGGTCTTTAACTGAACAGATTTAACTGGACTGAATAAAAGTTTTATAAGCTTTGTATCTATTATAAGATACATACCAAGTCATGTAAATCTTTTACTCGTGTACTTTGTAATTGTAAATATTCTTAAACGGCGAAATATTAAAAAAAAAAATTAAAAGATGAATAAGTTTATTTTGTTTTGCTGTATAAAAGTTGACATCTTTGAAACTTTAAATAGGAAACTGGGGTAAAATGGGGTACTTAAGAATGAAACCCTATAAAAGTCACAAAAATAAATAAAATGATTACAAATAAATGTTGAAACATCAGAATACAACATAGACAACATTGTAACAAAACAGCAAGTCAAAAGAATGTAAATTAATTGATTTATTACATTTTTTTAAAAATAACATAAAAACCCCATTTTACCCCAAGCATGGGGCAAAACGGGGTAATGGATGGGGCAAAATGGGGTCAAAGGAGGAAATCAAAAAAATATGATAAATCAATCACTACTAGTACAAATATAATCAATCACTGCTAGTACAAATATAATCAATCACTGCTAGTACAAATATAATCAATCACTGCTAGTACATAGCTCACACAAAAAGTAAGGTTTTTTGTTTCTTTCATCAATGCCTGCACAAGAATAATGGGCCCATCTGTGGCACTCAGTACATGAGACCCAACTCTCTGTGCTGCTGGAATAAAGATCCTCACAATAGAGGCATGGTGTGTCTTCATTTGATTTTTTGACAAATTTGTTTTTTGGTTTTTCACGTTTATAAGTTCGTTACGTTCTTCTAAGCCCGTGCGTATGAAGTTCTATTGCAAAATAACCCGTTAGTTGCTCTTTAGACAAGATTTCCAACATAGATGACTTAGCTCAAACTAGACTTTCTTATTTTATATTTATAGTTCTATAGTATAGGCTATAATAATACTTTAACTGAACTTTAACAACAATAAAACTATATTTTAAAAATAGACTAGTATTAAGTATTAGTATTATTTATTAAAAGAGCCTAGGTCTATTGAATAAAATTATAGCAGGCCTACTGAGTCTAATAGTAATTTAAAAAAATAGAATCACGTTTAAATATAAACCATATCTCATTTCTATAATTTAGATAAATAACACTACCGGGGAAAAATGGGGAAATACCCCATTTTGCCCCTTTGAGACACCCCATTTCACCCCAACACAGGAAGCATAATAAAACTGTTCGAAAAAACGAAGCAGAGCAAAGCTCATGAATTTATAAGAGTCTTAATTGCTTAATGTATAATATCATTCAGGAACAATAATATATTTAATTCAAAGCTTTAATTACAAAGAAGCTGCTTCTTAAAATATAATGTTAAAAAATAAGATGAAAAAGTTGACAAAATTGTATTTACCTCTCAACGACGATACTTGAAGAAAACGTGAACAAAAGTAAAAGACGTCTCTTCTCGCGATATTTCAAATCCAATATTTTTTTCGATGCTCTGAGGCTCTGAATGGGGTGTATTTTCAAAACCCCATTTTGCCCCACTACCCCATTTTACCCCAGTTTCCCCTAGAGTTTTTATTATACTTGAAGAAATTAAAAAGATGACTTAACAAAAATTAAGTTTATCATGAAGTATTATTTGATGGTCACGTAGGGTAATAATGCAGTAAATTATTGGTTTTTTTTCCGGAGAGTAAAGTTTCGTTTTGATAGGATTAAGTTTTATGCCGTTTAATTCGTTTTACATATTAAACGTTGTAATAAGTTTTTCTAGGTCCGATAGAACAGAGTGATGTCATTAACATATGCTTTAACACCATTGAAGTAAAAAGTTTAGCATATGCTTTAACACCATTGATTAATAAAGTTTGTCATACTTAACTATGGAAGTATCAATTAAAAATATTGAAAAGTCAATGAAAAAAATGCTTGAAGATCATAAGGTATTTATTTTAAAAGAGACTGAACGACTTCTTCGTGAACAAGAAATTAATTTTACAAAAATAACATCTGCCAACATGAAATTTATAACAGATAGATTCGATAAAATTGAAAATGAAATGCAGAAAAACGCACTAAATGTTAAGAAAATGGAAAAAGAGATCGATGACTTAAAGGAAAGTATAAACTTTCAAGAAGATATGGTGATGAAAAAAATAAACAAAATAAATCATCGCATCGACAATCAGAAAAGAATCTCAAACGAAAATAAAAATGGAATCAGAAATACAATCAAAAACTATAAATTTAATAAATTAAAAACTAATAGATCTAGAAAATCGTTCTAGACGAAACAATCTTAGAATTGATGGTGTTAAAGAAATTCAAGGCGAAACATGGGATGAGTGTGAAAAAATAGTTAAGGATATTTTTTCCAATAATCTTAAAATCAGCAAAGACATTATAATCGAAAGAGCACACAGGTCAGGACCATTAAAACAAGGTAAAGAGCGAACGATTGTCATCAAACTTTTAAATTTCAACGACAAAAAGTTAATTCGTAAACGAAGATGCGTGTTCGTAAACGAAGACTTTGCAAAGGAAACAATAGAAAAGTGTAAAAAACTCTGGGATGAAGTCGTTAAATTGAGGAAAGAAGGTAAATACCCAATTCTCAAGTTGGTTCAATTTTTTGTAGAGATCATAAGTGATAACTTTTTTTTTTAAACATATAGGGCAAACTGACCAATTAATGGCCACATCTTTTTTTAAAGGCACTCTGAACACAGTAATATTGTCAGATTTAAATTTTTTTTTTGCTATGCTTAATAATAGACATTCTTTTAATTTATTTTGAGTAATTGTTACCAAAATATAAAAAAACAACAATGTAAACAATTCATTTGAATTAAAATTTTGAATAAACACCAATTAATGGCCGGGTTGACTAATTATGAGCCAGTTCACTTTTTATTGAAATATTAGATTCTACTAACTTTGCCACAGGTTAAAATGTTGTGAAAATAATTTAATTTTAATAAGATTTATAATGAATAAAAAAAAAAAAGGCTTTAAAATGTAAATAATCAATATAAACTAGTTAAATATTGATTATTAACTGTTACACATCAAATTTTTAAAATTTTTTAAACGTTATAATTACTCAATAAAAATTAGCTTAGACATAAGTACCCCTTCAACAATGGCCAAAATAAATTATTTGTAAAACT